CACCTACACCCACACTCACACACCCACCCACACCCCACCCACACCCACACCCCACCCTCACGGTACATTTGCCCACAAAAGAGATAATATCCGAGATTCAGTATTCGCTCCACTGTAGCAACAGTCATGAAATAAAATGTGTTTTTATGCTAGATGTCTAGTTTGATTTTATTCTAATTCATAGCCAAACTCACACAGACTTACATCTACACTCCACATCGACACTCACATCAACCATTTACTCAATGAAAATAAAAGAAAATAATAAAGAATTGTTTATTAATTATTGAAAAACAAACATCGTTTGAAATTTTTCTTTTAATTTTTTATTGCATTAGTGATCTCGAATCTGAAATGAATATCAACTAATTAATTCTTATTTCGATCTAAACATTCAACTTCAAAAAGATAGAACATTTCTAAAATCGAAATAATTATTATCTTTGTTATATCTATTAAATATAACAGAGAGAAGAGCAATACATCTTCTATATGTATACGCTTAATATAATAAATAAACTTTTTTTAAAAATCTAAACAATTAAATTTAATTTGTAAATAAGAGTTATTTTCGAAAATAAAACAACGCAATAAAATAAAATTATATAGAAATTGATGAAATGTGTTTGTCTTTGAAATAGTGATTAAAAATTTGTCGCTTGATTAAATAATAAATTATTATTATTTAAAGATTTTTTTTTGTTTTTTGATCAAAATAATGTTTGTATTCATTTGATTTTGCTTATATAATCAATAAATTTATCTTTTGATACACTATAGAATAGATTATCAAGATAAATATATAATATATCAAATAAAACTAACCGTCCAGTCCCATCAATATCAACTTTATTCCAATGATCTTGAAAATTATTATTTAATATACTCGATGAATTATCGTCTGATTTCATTTTATTTAAATATGATAAACTAATTTTAAATAAAAATAATAAACAATAAATTTTATTAAAATAATTTACTTGTTATATTTATTGAGATAATTAAATACTTGTTGACCACGTTCACGTATTATATAATCTTGAGAAATAAAATATAAATTGTTTTCAAAAAGATAAAAAGAATTTATTTATTTAATGCTTAATCAGTGATTAAGCATTAAATAAATCTCAGCAAATTCTATTTATATATTATTTACATTTGTTTCAAATAAAAATTTTGAGTTTACCTTCAAAAGCTAATTTTCCTAAAACAACAAACAATAAATAAGTGATAAGCAAAAAAAACAAGGACAAAATGTAAATAAAACCTGAAGCATCATAATCATAGAGTTCAAAAATATAATGGAACATTTTATTTAAATCTTGATCAGTAAGAAAAGGTGCAACAGTATTATTCAATTGTTGACTCATATACATTTGTTTATATAAACGACGAAATTCATTTTGTCCATTTTATATGTATTACCAGTTGCTTTCATAAAATCTTTATATATATTTTCTACTGTTTTCGATGGAATATCTTTTATTCAATAAAAAAGAATAATATTTTTATTTAAAATCAATCAATATGTATATGTATTACTTGTCATATTACTGTATTTAATTAAATCTCATTCAGTAAAAGATTTTTTTGAACTTGAGGGTGTGAGATGTGGGTGAGGTGTGCGTGTGAACGAGAAGAACAGTCACCCACACACCCACACCTCTCTTGCTCATTGACTAAACGATCTCATGAAAACTATATACATATCTATCAATGAATCGATGCCAAATTATAACAACTGAAAAATATTTTCAACTATAATCTAC